TATGATGAAATTAAATAGAATACACGTAGTAATATTAATATATATAAATGTAAGAGAATGTAAAAGAAATTAGCTTTTAAAACAGGTTTTAAATAAATTATATTAAGTATGGTGTAATAAAATAGAAGGTAATAAATGAATAGTATATAATATATATTTATTTGTGATATATATAAGCACAAATTTGTTCCAAAAATTCAAAAAGATTTATTTTTTTCATATAAATGGCTGATTTCTTAAGAGATTTTATGATTGGTGGTGTTTCTGCTGCTGTTTCAAAGACAGCTGTTGCTCCAATTGAAAGAGTCAAATTGTTACTCTAAACCTAAGATGCCAATAAAAAAATCTAAGAAGGAGGTGCCAAGAAATACAATGGTATTGTTGATTGCTTCATCAGAGTCCCAAAAGAAGAAGTATATTATATAATAAATATATAAAGGGTTTATCTGCCTTATGGAGAGGAAATTTGGCTAATGTTATCAGATATTTCCCAACATAAGCATTGAACTTTGCATTCAAGGATGCTTACAAGAAGCTTCTCTGTCCATTTGGTATTTATTATTATAATATTATTAAGACCCAAAGAAAGAGAAATTCCTTTTCTTTTTAGGAAATATGGCATCTGGTGGTGCAGCTGGTGCAACATCTTTGATGGTTGTTTATCCACTTGATTTTGCAAGAACAAGATTAGCCGCAGATATTGGTAAGAAGGCTGATAGACAATTTAATGGTTTGACAGATTGTTTGAGTAAAGTTTATAAATCAGATGGTTTCATTGGATTATATAGAGGATTTGGTGTGTCAGTTTTAGGAATTGTAGTATATAGAGGAGTCTATTTTGGTACATATGACACAGCAAAAGGAACAATCTTTAGACATCCAATGATGGGTAACATTTTAGCAAAATTCATTGTTGCTTAATTTATTACTGGAACAGCTGGTGTTATTTCATATCCATTAGATACAATTAGAAGAAGAATGATGATGTAATCAGGTAATTTATTAATAATATATATTTATTATAGGAAGAGCTGATGTTCTTTATAAAAATACACTTGATTGTGCAGTTAAAATTGCTAAGAATGAAGGAGCAAAAGCCTTCTTTAAAGGAGCATTATCTAATTTCTTTAGAGGAATAGGTGCATCACTTGTTTTAGTCCTTTATGATGAAATCTAATAATTTATTGCCCCAGGATCTAAATCAGCAGGAGGTGAATGATAAATTATTATTGTACATTCAATATAAAATCAAATAATAATCTAAATATATATATATATATTTATATACACATATATATGATTTATCCATTTTTTAAGAGTATTTAATTTTATTTATCTTCTATTAAATTATGATATTTTTATTAAGTTTAATAATCAACCAAAAATAAATTAAAAAGAATAATGATGCATTAATGATTTAAACATTTTCTATAAATTTATACTTTATTCCAAAACCAAAAATGAATGGATTTGCTAAAATTTTATAATAAATTTAATATGCCTAAGTATTTTTTAATTGAAGATTAAAGTATCATTGAAGTATGCAGAATGATTTTTAATTAATACCAGTATAAGATAATAAATAATTTTGAATATCCAAATAATTGTTACCATATAAATGAAGTAATAATTATTTAAAAAATTAAAATATTATCACTCTTCTTTTTATTATTCATTATTTTTTTTAACTGCTGAAACAATTTCCTTAGATATTGGGACAGTAAATGGTATAGAAATGGGTTGTTGAAATGAAAAAGCATTTTAATTAGGATTTTTTTATATTTAAGGTGTAGTAAATTATTGTTATTCTTGATTGATTTATGATTTTTATTAGGGAGGAGATTAAACGATGAATGGGAAACTAGTAGGAACAGATCTAACTGGAGAATTTAAAGGTTGTCTTTTTGTATCAGAATAGTTATCTAAGACTTAAATGGAAGTTCTTTATTTTGAAGGTGTATTATTAGGTGATATTGCTTATAATTATTGTTATATTTAGAAATAGGGAGTAATTGATTCTGTTAAATTGGATGTAATTCTACCATATAGGTTTTGTTCATATAATAAGAGTTATTTAATGAAACCTGGATTGGGAGAGGCAATAGGTCTTTAGTATTTAACATAGATTAAGGCTTATTCTAGATTAAGGTTTCTTTTCTTCATCAAATAGGAAACAACAATGGCAGTGGATCTTGATTTGCCAGCATGACAATGGACTAAAACATTAGTGTATTGTCTAGATGATTCTAAATAAGCATGAGCTTATTCAAAAAGTGGAGTCATATCAAAGAGAGGAGTATCATGGCAGTCTAATATTAGATTGTTAATCTCTGGGCCATATTAAATTTCTGAGTTAAATAGAAGGGTTACTAAATTCAGAACAGACAGAGAGAACACATGTGATATTGTGCTAATTTAATGCATTCATGTTTGTTGCAGTAATAATGGAACCTTGGAAAAGTCCCCCTCTTTTATCGACTGGTTCTATGATGAAGGAAATATCGTAATTGTTAATCATAATAATAAATTATATATATAATCAAGGATTTAATTGAAAATGTCTGGATAATGCAGTCTAATGTTTAATTTCTAGTCTTCTTCTTTCATAATAATAATAAACAATAAGTCCTAAAATAAAAGGTAATAAAGCTAAAAAATATTTATATAGTATTTACTAATAATAAAGATAATAATAGTTATAGGTATAAGTGCAATTCCAAATAATAAAGTGATCATGAATAAGAATGCTTAGATAAAAATGTTTAGATTTTAAAAACATTTAATTTAGATTAGTAGAGCTATACATAAAAAAGGAGCTGTCATTACAGCTACAATAGGAGTCAATATTATTAAGAGTATTAAACAAATTAATCTCCATATTAATAATTTAACATATGAAAAATTCTTTTGTTGAATCCTACCTGGTAATAATGCAGGACAACCAAAAGGATTGAATATTGCAAAATGAAGAGATGTATAATCACTTTTACAAATCCAACACCATTCATGTAAACAAAATTAACATGTCATATGATTACAACCACTTATTTTTTCAACAATAATTTTACATCTTGGACATTATTATGTTTCTCTATCTTCTTGCCATTCATTTAAAATATGTTATAAATTCTCTTCACAACTTTGAAGTGGATGTGCTCTTTATTTACAACCTTTACAAACTTCAATTTTACAATAAGCACAAGTAGAAATCATTTATTCTTATTTAAATTCTAAAACATTTTGGCAATTTACTGTTGGACACCAAGCTTTATTAGGATTTAGAGCAATTTCTAAATTTTGATAACATTTTAAATATTTTGTGTAAAGTTCTTATGAATGTTCTAAGATATCATTATCCATAATTTAGATATTACAATGTGGACATTTCAAATTGTTAATTTTACCTTCATTTATTTATTATCTTAAATAATTAATAAAACAATCTAAACAAATATTATGTTTCTCTTATTTTAAATAAAGTAAGTCTTTATCTAAAAATATCATGTAACAAACACAGCATTATTAAGTTGATTATAGATTATATTTTATTTTGTATAATTCTGCTATAAATTTCTAATCATCCTATTCAAATATAGGATTAAACTGACTAACTTATTTACATACTCCAGATGAATCTTTAGTTTATTCAACTTATCTGTGACTATCATTATTTTATAAATATATGATAGCATCAAATATTGTTCTAAATCCTTTAAAATGTATGGCATATATGGATTGAATAATATCAAATCCATGTGTTTAACTTAAATCTATTATTAATTAGAGTTCTTATTAATCTATATTTAATGAAGATTAATCACACTGAATTTTATCATCACCATCATCCTAAAATTATTCATAATTCATTAATTATATAATTTATTCAGTATGTATTATTTAATATTTTAATATACATTTAAATGGTATTCATAATATTTTAATACAATATCACAAAAATCTTCTAATCTTTTTAAATCTAAAAATGTTGAAGTTTCATATATTAACTTGAATCTAACAGATAACCAAAATAATCATGATATATAAAATTCAAAATTGATATAAGATTTATTTGATTTGAGTTTCTTTGTTCTCTTGTTCATCCTTATAAATCGATGACTAAGTTAATTCCATAAATTAATCATTATTTAACTCAGTTTCATTTATTTATGTATTATTTTTAATTCTGATCAAAAGCATTAAAAAAAACAATAATTTATCCTATAAGTAGTTTAAGTCTTTTGTTAAAGTGTAATGCTATAATAAATAAATTTGATTCTATAATTGACTAAATGTAATTCAATCATCTGGAGATCCTCAATAAATTTTTATACATATTTTTGTCTTATAATTTGATAAATTTAGATAAGATAGTTTAAATTCATTTATTGTCTAACAAATTTTTATCATTTGATTAATGAAAATTAAGAAATTTAGTTTAATAATTCATTTTATACCACTTTTAATAGTATTCATATTAAAAATAAATTTTCTTCTTATTTGACCGCATATAATATTGCATTTATTTCTACAAAACTAATTCATAAGATTCAATACCAAATTTTAGTCGCGATATAGCCTTATAAAATATATCTTAAGTAGGAAACTAATAAATATAACTAAATTAATTTGTTAAATATTAGTTTCTTTTCTATTTGATATTGATATCATTCATTATATCTGTTAAATGCTTTATTTTTTATGATGTTTTTCAATTTGCAAAAGACAAAATCATATTACAATGTGGATTCCTAGAATTTGTAAACTATTAAGAAATATTATATAAATAATAAACTATTCTTCAATTAGATTAATAAACTTTTAATAAAGATGTGTGATTTATATGAAATATCAAACAATTCATAAATATTTTTATAGAAATGCACTCTGAATTAATTTATATTATAATTGTAATAGTTCATCTTATATATTGATAATATTGTTCTAATTAAGAATATATATTAATTTTATATAAAATTAACAATTTTATAATAAAATTATTATCATAATTCTTCAACATATTCTTCAATATATTCCTCAACATATTCTTCATTATTTTCTTACATATCTGTTTCATTATATTTGAGATTCCTTAAAACATTTTTAATATTGCCTGACTCAAATTCAGAAATTGGACTCATCTTTGTATTAAAAACTTAAGGTGATTAATATTAGTTAGTTATGTTAAATTACAAAGAGTATTCAGAACTCACTTATTGTGATTCTATTTATTTTTTTACAGTTGCTTTTGGATGTTCAGATTAACTATATGTAAATTAATCACTTGTAATATTTGGTTTTCTTGATTCAGAACTCTTTAATTGTTAATCAATATATTTGAATTCTAAAATTATTTAATATATATTTTACATGATAATGTTAATATTTATTCATTTGATATTATTTCTTATACTTTACTTTATAATTCTGTTTTTTTGTTTATAATAATTTCATCATTTTATTATTATTATGAAATAGATTTAGAATTTCTACTTTCTATTACTTAATAATTAAAATCTTCATCATCAGAATAAGTTTTCTTTTAATAATTATTTGGTATATATCTAATACAATCATTACTATAATATGTTAAATTATGATTATCTCTATATAATGAATATTCTTCTTCTAAAATTTTTGTCATTTTATTCCAATCAATGATTTCAATCTCATTTAGATATAAATAATTCATCATTAAAATGTATTCTATTAATTCATATGAAAAATTGTATTTTTAACTTAATAATAGTATAAATTCAGATGAATTATATATTTTTTTTGGAATAATAGTTTTATTTATTTAATAATATATTAATTTAATAAAATAGCTTTAGTAATTGATTGTTTTAAAAGTTAACTAATAATATTTATTTAAATAATTACATATTCTGACAATATTTTTGGATGAGTATGAAATTTTTTTATTATTTCCTTCACCTCTTAAGTATCTTCTAATTACATTTTTTAACTGGTACCCTAGTCTTCTCCAATCAAATATCTGCAAATTATAATGGAATCTTAATTTTAAAAATTGAAAGGAGATTTCATAAATATTTCAATTGCTTCTCCTAATTACACATATTATTTATAATTAAAACACATCTAAATTCTTTCCTTTGTTAATTTTAAAGATATGATTTTGTATTTTAATTATTATAATAGTATTTACAATTTAAATTCATCAATAGGATAAATTAAAAGATTATTATCTTATTTTTCAGGAAATTATGTAAATTGATCTTAATAATTTAAAATTGGAAAGAATGATTTTTTCATATATTACGTAACAGAAGTTGCACTTTAAGGTGATTTTTATTTAAGCAATTCAGTTATATTTATTCTATCATTTAAATCTTATCTAAAATAAGAAATTAATTATATACATAATTTAATCTTTCTTTTAAGATTGTTCTTCTAATTACTATTTTTATTTTTATAATTCCAATATATTTGATTTTAATTCTTTTTCTTATTCTTTGATTTATTTATTAAGTAATTTTTATTTATTTTGATATAATACTAATTCACCTTTTAAGGAATCAATTTATTATAAAGTAGCTCTAATTATTAAAAATTTATTTATACACTAATCTCTTTTCTAAATAATCACTTCTTTTTGTATCATTTTCTGTATTAGTTTATTGATTGAATTATTTTTTATAATTAATTCTTTCAAATGTAAGTATTTTAATTTAATCCATCAATTAAGAATTATTATTTGAAACTTCTTGATATTCTTTTTTAAGTTTTTCATTCTCAGTTGCTAATTAAGATATGTAATTTTATTATTAATTCAATAATATTGAAAATTTGGATAGTTTTTCTATTATATTTGGATCCTTAATAAATCTATTTTTAAATTTGATTGATATACTCTTGATCCTAGACTTTCAGAAGAGATTTAATGATTAATTTCAATTTTTATATTTCATTTTGCAAATTACTAATTTCAGCTTGTAATTCTGACATTTTAGTAAATTTAATAGATTTCTATTAATACTGCATGTCTGTTTATAATTCTTCAATTAAATTTCTTTATTGTTTTACTTTTTCTTTTAATGTAGGAACAATACTACATTCTCCATTCTATGAAATAGGTATACCTACTTTTTCAATCTTAGATAAATGTGACTAATTTAGGATGAGACTAAACTTGTAATTATGAAACTTAAGCTTTCAATTTTTAATTTTAATATCGTAATTCATTAGTTGTTTATTTTAATTACAGATTGGAGTAATACAATTATTCTTAATCTTCAAAATGTTCTTTTGGTGCAACAAAGGATTAATGTTATTACTTTGAAATAGTTTATGAACTATAATTAATAAATAAGTTTACGTATTGATATTAATTTCATGTTTATCTTTGTTTATAATTGGAATAATAGCACTTTGAGGTCTTCGTCTCATTATATAAAAATAATAATTAAAAAAAATGGAAATTGATATTCTAAATGAATTATTAACAGAATCAGTTGCTAAACTATTCAATCCAAGAGCTGTATATAATTTTAAGAAACCTAATCCAGTTTATGATAATTACTAAAAGAATTCAAATAACACATCTTCAACATCTATATCATCTATGTAATCTGATCAACCAAAATTTGAATAACCATAATAAAAATTATCTAATCCTCCAACTATTGAATAATGGGTAAGTATAATTGGCCCATAAAAATTATAAGAATCATTAAATAAGTATGATGTTTAATATATTATAGATTGAATATAGATTTAAATAAATTAACAAAAAGAGATTTAGAAATGATGTCTATGGATTAACTTTAAAATGAAAAGAAAAGAGTAAAAAATGAACTTAAATTTTATGATGCTAATTTTTAATCCATTTTTAATAGATTTCCATTAAGAAATGAAAAAGAACCAATGAGACCTTTATACATATACTATAAAAAATTGAAATAACAAATTGATAAACTTACTCAAAATCCAGGAATTTAAATACCAACTTATAAACAATCAACAAATAATACTTAAGGAGAAATTCAAAAGAGAATAGAAGATTTAAAAAAAACAAGAGCAGAATTGAGAGAAAAATTAAATAACTTTTAAAATGAATTTACAACTACTCACAATAGAAGAATTAGATTTCATAAAGATATTGCTCCTGTTGAAAAAGAATATAAACTTTACAAAGAAATTAAAAATGAAATATAAAAGTTGGAAAATATATTATAAAAGAAATGAATTATATTTTATTATTAAAAATATATATGTTAAATGAATAAATATTATATTATTTGCTTATCTATGATTAAAATTTATTCCAATATAAGTACTTTTATAATCTTTGATAGATACTTCCATTAGTTATTATTAAATAAATAGTTGACTTAATAATTTTCAGAGCAGTCTTATAAATAATTGATGAATAAGTTATGAAATCAAAAACTTTGAATTATTTTCAATTCAATATTAGTTGAATAATACAGATTAATGAGAAATTAAATACATAACCAGGATAATTATTTAGATTAAGATGCACCTCATATTTAAGTTCAATATGATTTTAATTAGTGTATATATTTGGATTCATTCTTATTTACAATTGCATTTGAAAATCAATATACTATTTTAATAAAGAAAACCATAGTAGTTTCTATAATTTATAATATTAATATATTTCATTTAATAGAATTTTAATAATAAAATCAATTCTATAATAATTTTTTTTATAAACCAAAACATTTTATTTAAAAATTTATATTAAAGGTAGTATGAAATTTACTTTAAGTGGACCTGAGGAGCTCATTAAATAGATAAAAGAGGGAATTTTTAACTTTAACCCTTTAGAAATTTTGGGCATTGAATAATCAAAAGATGCACGTGCTAGTTTTATAAATAAAATAACATCTAAGAAGATCACCAAAAGAATTGCAGTAACCTTGGCCTTTGATTAAATTTCTACAAAATAATCTAATAGATATCTTGAAGTTTATTAGAAAAAAGGTTATTATAAATTAAATATGCAAAAATATGGAGTGTATGAAGCAGCTCTAATTTCTGATATTGAATACTTAAAACAAAATTTGAAAAATGCCAAAAATCAATAATAAGAACACAAGAGAACTTTATTATATACTTGTTGTAGATCAGGATTCTATGATTGTGTAGAGTTGTTGCTACATTATGGTTGCGATATTGAATAACAATAAGACACTAATAGTACTCCTTTACATGTAGCCAGTTTTTATGGTCATAAAAATGTGACTCAATTATTAATTAGTTATGGAGCCAACAACAATATAAAAAATCATTATAATAATATTCCTTCAGATGAGGCTAGAACAGATGAGATAAAATAATTAATCATTAGTAATAAGGATGATAATATATTAACATTTTTTTAATAATCAAAAAAAGAAGGAATAGTTGAATTTATTGAAAGATCCAAGAATGACAACATGATTAGGATATACAGAAAACTAAAAAAGGTTGATTTAAAATTATTATTTAAGAACAAAAAAGAATATTGTCATTGCTATCATGGGACTAAATTTAAATATATAAAACCAATTTTAGATGTGGGATTATAACCATCTGGAGCAAAAACTAAATATGGAAAGGTTGAAACACCAAGTAACCATATCCATCCAGATGAAACGATAGGTGGTATTAAAAATTGGGCAAAAGCTATATTCACAAGTCCAAGTGCTTTTTATGCAGCAGACACAGCTTACTCGGAGAGAATTTAGAATAAAGGTCATTAATATTGTTGCCTTGTAGAAGCATTAATAAAAGAAGGCTCATATAAATAATTCCCGTCGACAGTCTTAAAAAGAGTTTTCTAAATTAAAAATGAACCTGCTGATGTTGAGTATAGAATTGACTGCAATCAGGATGCTCCATTAATTTAAAGAACTGAGGATGCAACTAAAGTCATTGTGTTTTCAGCACTATTTTTAAAAGAGTAATATCTATAGAATCAAGAAAATTATGATGAATGCAATTAATTTCTTGATAATTTAAGTGCCTTTGAATTGTGAAACTTATAAAGATAATTAATATTATTTGAAACTTACTATCATAAATTATAAAAAAAATTACAAATTAATAACTACTATTCACATATGCTGAACATTGCCATCTATAAATTATCAAAGACAAATAAAGACAACAAAAGTAAAAAAGTAACACTAAAATTAAATATCAGTATTTTTTATTATCTATTACTGAATGAAATTTATTTAAATTTTAGTTTTAGCATTTAAAATAAGCTCTAAATGTTTACATTCTTACTATTTCTACATTTTAAAAGTTTTATAAAAGAATTTTTCCTTTTTGTGTATAAAGATTTTTTAGAGTTTTATTAGACTATAAATATAATAATTCATAGAAGCTTTAATAAATTCTTCATATTATTTTGTATAATAGCTTAGAAAATATAATAAATTCATTTTACTCATCTCTACAGTATAATAATACTTATTTAATTTCAGTGATTTATGTACAATTTCTAGAGTTTTCCATAATAATAAATTCGAATTGTTAGGCACTCATTAAAGTTTTAGTATTGTTAAATCTTACCAAAATTTATAAATTACTATATTAAAAAATCCAAAAACCTTAAAAAGAAGATTTTATTATTAAAAAGTAAGTACACAAAAGTAGGTAAGAAATATTTATAAGAAGTATAGCAAATATAACTTTAGTTCACAAATTTAATTAGAAAAAAAATAATTGTTTTATTTTTTAATAAAAAAAACTAGAATAATTATTTTGCTCTAAAAATATTTAGTAACTTTGTTTAAAAAAACTTCAAGTAAGAATATAAATTATTAAGATTTTATTTTACATTTTATTTCGCTCTAAAAACATAGAGAATATCTTAATTTCTGAATTGGCAGTATAAAATTGTAATTAACTATCATTTTACTTTTAATTGAAGTTATTTATAAAAATTTATCAAATTATTTTTTTTAATTTTTAGATGTCATTTATTTGCGATCTTTTTAAATTTAACTTATTTTCTTAGTATCTCCTTACTAGATTTAAAAGAAAAATGTTTTTATCAAATGAACAAGATTATTATCATTAATTCTTTAAAGTGTCATATATTATTTTATTTTTCCTTATTTTTAACTTGTCCAATATAATAGTTAAATTAATTATGAGAATGTAGAAAATAACAAAAATATCATTTTTTTCTAACAACACATTATTAAAAAATCAAATCTAATTATTTGATGAAATATTCAAAACTTTGAAATTGTCTTATATACCAACAAAAAGTAGTCAATTTATTCATCTTTGGGATGATATTTACATAACTTGATGAATGTCTTTAAGTAATGTAGTAATTTCTTATGTTAACCTCTTGGTTATCTAAAAGATTTTCAATGAAATATTTTCTAACTATGTATAGTCCAAGTTTTCTAAGATTTTTCAAACTATTTATTATTTTTTTAATCCCAAATAATCAATTAGTTATCATCATTTTCTTTGATTCTACTTTTAGAAACTTTATTTATGAGACCAAAAATGTTTATGATTATTAATGTTTAGGCATTCAAATTTCAAAATTTTTAAGCTCAGTTGCATTTCATATTCAAATTCAAGAATCTAATATTTATAATCTAATCAACTAATAAATTTATATCTTAACAATCTTAATAAATAAATTTGAAATCCTTAAAATTCTTAAGATATTTGTAAATGAGTCATCTAATTATCTTGGCCTAACTCAAATAACAGTAAGAGTAATATAAATTCTTATTGCAAAAATTTCAGTGAATAAAAGTTAATTGAAGAGTGAGCCAAACAAATATCTAATCCAAAATAATTTTGAAATCTACGGATATTTAATAAA